CTATACAAACAAACACTGTTAGAGACAGCAGTTAGAGACATTGTAACACTTTATAGGGTTTTGCTATTTATAAAAGTTTTCCTTATCAATCCTATGGGTATTCTGTGAGATAAGGACTAATGTTATTTCCATTTACAGATGAGGAAACTGAGTCCTAGAGTGGACAAAGGATTTTCCCAAAGATCCATTGCTAGGAAAAAGCAAAGGACCCTGTGATGACCAAGGTGATCTCTCACCCCCAGAGCTTGGCCTGCTTTAGGTGACATCCACAGCTACAGGGCCATCAGGGGCACAGGCAGATCCAGGCGAGGGCAGGGCTAAAGGGCACAGAGAAGGTGACCAAGACCCCACAGTGGCAGTGTGAGGACATGGAAGACGCCCTGAAGAGAGGCTGGGAAGAAAAAAGGCTAAGTTTGTTCGATTGGCCTCAAGGAGGACAGGATTTCACTTTCTCTCAAGCTGCCAGCAGAAGGCCAGCACATCTTCCCAGGTGAGTGCCATCCAGACAGGTCTGGGGAAGGGGCAGAGCAAGAGGAGTCTTCATGGACCTGGACACGGGGAGCGGGGAGCCATCACTGCAGAGGATGAGACGCTGCAGTAAAACACGGGAGCTGGCACTTCGGTCTGTCAGCCAGGAGGGGCTGCCGGGACCTGGTGGGGCCCTGGAGCAGAGGCAGGTCCTAGTGCTGGGGTTTCGGTACCCTGAGAACAGGTGAGACGGGAGGGCACGGGAAGAACTCTGCCAGAAGAGGCGGGCAGAGACAACAGGGCTGCTGTTTTCAGGATATCTAGAGCGGCAAGTGCACGGGAACTGCAGAAGCCCATGAGAAGCAAACAGGCGCGGCACTGTAGTCCCCCAGGCTGACAGGGCAGAGCAGGACATGCGATCCCTGGGGACTTTCTGTCTTCACCTCACAGGTGGCCCTGTCTTCAGCAAGTGAGGCTTCTCTTCAGGGAGCCACTCCTCAGGACTGATGGCCAGGGGACACCACGGTGTCCAGGAAGGGCGTTTCTGACTCGTCCAGCTCTGTCGCCCTTCTTGTGATTCTCTGTCCTATTGTGGGACTCCTGGCTCCTCCTCGAAGTCAAAATGACCATGCCAGGGAAATGTTTTGAATCTATTCGGGATGTTGAGGCAGCCAGGACAGTTCAACTATAGACTCTCAGGAAAGAGGACTCCAGAGCTGCCGCAGGAAGTGGGATGGTGGTGGGGTGAGTGTGTGCTTCAGAGGAGGGGAGGATTTGGAGGTGAATTAATGGCAGGAAGTCTTTTACTGTAATACATTTTTCTTAAATTTAAACAGTGGAGTTGTTCAACATACCTTTTTGTCAAGAATGCCAAGGCAACTCCATGGGGAGTCTTTTTCAACAAGTAGTACTCGATAAGCCGAGGCTCCATGTGCCAGACCTTCCCTCCTCCACGAGAAGCTTCTTGGCCACGTTCCTTGACCAAGGCCGGATTCTCCGGAAGAGAGCAACACAGATGTGCTCCGTCCGAGTTTCCCCCGCACAGGCGTCCTCCAGCTGCCGGGAGCTCTGTCTGTTTTCATGCTGGGTTTGGTGAAGAAGCAGCGGCTGTGTGGAAAGTGACTGGACCGTGGGGCTTGCTCTCGGGACAGCCTGAGGGGTGCAGCAGGGCCGTCTGTGCTGGTGTCTGGGGGCCCCTTTGCCCCCTCTGTCTCCTCTGTGCAAGAAGGGCCATCCCTTGGTCAGCCCGACTCCAAGAGGTGGGAAGCTTAGAACATGCCTGGGCCTGTGCTGGCTGAAGTCCTGGCTCTGGTGCTGCTGGACAGAGCATCATGTTTTGGACAGAAATAGCTTTAAATGCTTGATCGTTGTGGGCTGATCAACATATACAGTGAATGTTTTTAAAAATGTATTACTGGACCAGTTATTTGGCTCAGTGGTGCTGCCACCTGCCTTGCAAGTGCAAGGTCCCGAGTTAGATCTCTAGCACCAAAAAAAAAAGAAAAGTATTATTGTAAAAGACGTATTTCTATTAATCCCTCCAAACACCCCCCGAAATTTTTCCCGTCCTCCTTGGTGATGTGTCCTTTACCGTATTTTTCCCCCTTTAAGCACTGCATAGGCTCCTTTGCCCAGGTCCTGCAAAACAATCCCATCTTGTCTGCGTGGGAAACCTGCTCTGCAGCACAGCCCGCTTCCCACACAGCACCCTTCCGGCCTCTCCTGCAAACTCACACCAGGTGGGGGACCAGGACTCAGGTCCCAGCTCCTCACAGCTTCCTGTTCCAGACCCGGGGAAAATGAGACTCTGCCAGGTGTGATGGTGCATACGTGTGATCCCGGCCACTGGGAAGCTGAGGCAGGAGGATCACAAGTGCAAGGCCAGTGAGGGCAACTTGAGGAAACCCTGTCTCAAAATAAAAAAATGGAAATGGCTGGGGAAGCAGCTCAGTGGTAGAGCGCCCTTGGGCGGGGATGCGGGGAACCGACCTAACAACTCTAAAATTGCACTCATTCTAGAGTTCAGATATTTACGCACGCACGCGCGAGCCACCTGTGAGTTTGAAAGCCTACATCGCCACCTGGTGGCCAAAGAGAAGAGGCTCGGCTGAGGAAAAGGTGCCAGAAGCGTCCAGCGGCGCCTGTCCTAGGGAAGCGACGGTAGAGCCTGAGTCTGAGGCGGCCAGGCCGCGGTGCATGGCGGGACCAGGCCCCTCGAAGTCCGGGGTCCGGGGCGAGGGCGCCCGCAGCCCCCCACCTGCCTCTTTCTGGGGGGGGGCCAGTGTGAAATCCGTTTCTATCACAAGACTGGTGAGGAGCCCATTCTGTTTTATCTGTTTATGTTTAAATCGATACGCGTCTAATTTCAAGTACAGTAAGGAGAACATACTTTTAAAAAAACAGTACTGAAAATTGAACCCAGGAGCTATCACTGAGCTACATCTTCAGTCCCTCTCTTTTTGAGACAAGGTCCTGCTAAGTTACCCTTGAATTTGCACTCCTCTTGCCTCTGCCTCCTCAGTTGCTGAGATTGTAGACAACCCCACCACCACACCACCTTACTGGGATCGAACTCAGGACCTTGTGCTTGCCAGGCGGGCGCGCAGAGTTGCTGAGACTATAGGTGTGCACCACCTCGCCTGGCTCAGGATTTTATATTTTCAGAAAGCCAAACTGGTTTAAAAAGAAAATTTTCATACACATTTTCTTCTTCTAATAATTTTAGAAATAGCCCTTTTTCATTTATTAAGTCTGTAAGCTATGAGAAATGTAGCAGCTGAAAATTGTAACAATTCAAATGTGTCTGCCTTCTGTGGTTATCCACTGGGAATACAGGTCAGTAAAGAAAATGGGGCACAAAGAAAAATGAAGGGGGAGGGGGAGGAGGAGAAAGAAGAGGCAGAATAAGAAGAGGAGGCAGAGGAGAAGGAAGTTGCCAAGTTTGGGTTCATTTAGCTCCTATATAACTTTCAGCATCTCAATTGCAGTAAAAATTAACAGAAATATCTGTTGGAATTCATCACAGTGGAAAGGAGAAAGGAAATACTTAAATCTTTTTTTGGTTAAGGAATAAAATTCTCTTTCTATCTTGACTAAGCTAACTTCAAACCAATTTCCTCAAAAATCAAGACAGGGTAGAATCAGATTTATGTCCATCCAACAGTATAGAAAAATTGCAAGTGCAAGACATCAGATGAAGAACACTTTTCCCTTCAAGTACTAACATCTACAAGCTATTAGGCAAAAAGAAAACATCAATTGTAGACCTTTTCTTTTTTGCAATGCTAGGGATGGAACCCAGGACCTCATACTTGTCAGGCAAGAGAGATTATCTGATCACAAAGCAGTAAATCTAGAAATCAATTATCAAATCAAGGAAAAGTGTCCCTAATCCTGGTGGTTAAACACTGTCTCAAAAGTCACTGGAGTCAAAGGGGAGGCCATCAAACCGACCTTCTGGAACTGAATGAGGACGGGCAGTGTTGGCCAATGGTGTCCTGAGTGGGTTAGGAGGTGCGCCCCTTCTTCAGGACACAGAACCAAAACCACAGTCCCAGGGTCAGAGTGACCCTGGCCCTGAGTCCCTGAGCAGCCTGAGGTTCAGAGAAACTGAGGCCATGGGAGATGGTAGGTGTGGAAGAAAAAAACACACAAAAGTCTCTTTGCTAGGGAAAAAGAAACAGTATGAGTTTTTCCTTAAGTTTGGAAGCAAAAATATACTAAGTAGAATTGCTGAGAACAAAGTTTTGAAGGCCAAGAAAAAGTCCCATGCAAGCAGCACAAACTTGCTTTGAACTTCCTGTTCCCAAGGTCCTGATCCTAAAGACAGGAGACACGAACACACTGGGTTCCAAGTCATTCCAGAACTCTGAGCCACCTGCAAAGCACTCAGCTGTGTCAAGTGCGTTAGATAAATGGCTGTGCTAAACAGCTACTGTGGAAGTAGTGGTTAAAGTTTTATGTCAGCAGATATAAATGATTCGTGAATAAACTCGCTTAGCTTGTCTTAAAGTTTGCCATTTTGTACATTGTGTGGGTCAGTTTCTTTTTTCCCGTTTGAGATTTTGTGTTTTGGGGTTTTGTTTCTGTTTTGTTTGTTTGAGATAGGATATTGCTAAGTTGCTCAGGCTGACCTCCAACTCAGGATGCTCCTGCCTCAGCCTCCTGCATAGCTGGGATTATAGATACATTCCACTGTGCCCAGCTTGTCACCGAGCTGCTAAAGATTCATTCTGATAGTCTCTCCTCACATCAGTAGGACACTTTTGGAGAGATCGCTGACATTATTCTCCTAAGATCACAAAAAGCGTAGCCCTTTTGGGGTTCTGTTTTGAACCCTAGCTTCCTTTGCAGCAGCATCTCCCTACAGTGGGAACAGGTTCTAGGGAAGAATGGGGTGGGTATGCTTCAAGGCAGATGCCGACACGGGTGTCACCAGGCATTAAGAGGGTTCCATTGTGACTCAGGGAACCCGAAGCTGGGGGCGAGCCACAGTGCAGTGACAGAACAAAGCCCTGGTTGCTAGAGTCAGGGAATAAGTACTGGAGCCCCGGAAAAGGGAGATGGAGCCCCAGCTCCTGGTCCCCCTTTCCACCCCCCACACCCCCAGGCCACCGGCAATGTCACCTTCCACATGAACACGCCCTCTGCTCCCTGCCCTCTTGGTTTCAGCTTCTCCAGCCCCGTGCCCAAGGACAAGCCCCTGTCCTTCGTGGGCTCCCCCAGGTCCATGGCCAGCTCTGACAGCTCAGGGGAGACAGCCCCTGTCTCCCACACCCCGAGCCCAGTTCCTGATCCCCACCACGAGGCTCTGGGGCCTGGGCTCACCGCCACCATGCTGGAGATCCACTCCCCTTCTCCCTCCTGCTGGGGCTCCCCCCCCTCCCCGAAGATCACTCGCCACGTCCCAGGGCCACTCTCCACCCAGAAGCTTCAGGACCTCCTCAGGGACCTCAGAGATGTTCTCCGAAGTGTGGCAGGCTTCGGAGGGGTTGCAGAAGCAAAAGAATCTTCTGAGGAAAGCAACATTTCTAAAGATGAGTCAGAACATCAAGAAAAAGCTGGAGGCCTGGATAAGGCCAATGAAGTGGTGTCAGAAAACCTGCTAATTTGTTTAGACCTAGAGGAGAAACAGGGGCTGATTTTGGAAAACCAGAACCCTACAAACACTGGACACCTTTCTGCAAGGGATTGGGAAAGGCATTCGGAAGGGAAAAGAACCTTTACCAGAGCTCAGCTGAGTAAGAAAGAAGGGGCAAGGGTCCCTGGGGTCCAAGAAGAAAATGCTAAACTCCGGGAAAGCATGGAGCAGCTCCTGCAGGAAGCTGAGCACTGGAGCCAGCAGCACACGGAGCTCAGCGAACTCATGAGGTCCTACCAGCAGTCTCACAGGGACAGCCAGGCTCAGCTCCGAAGCCAGCCACACAGCCGCATGCCCACCCAGGGGACGCTGGAGGAGGCTGTGAGAAGGCTGAGCCAGGACACGCACGCCCTGCACCTGATCGCCGCCCTGCTGGAGAACGAGTGTCAGATCCTACAGCACAGAGTGCAGATCCTCAAGGAGTCCTACCAGCCCCGGGAGGGGACGTCCCCCGAGAGGCCACCGCAGAGAAACCACCTGCAGGCCAAGAACAGCCAGGACCCACCACCACCGGAGGCAGAGAGCGTGGAATGCAGTCGGCAGAGCTTGCCTTGCCTGGGGGGCGTCTTCCAGAAGAAAGAGACGGTCTACAGGAGCTCGGATCCTTGTCTGAATAGGAAAGCTCTCAACAACCGGCTCAACTCTCGCTTTGCAAGAGCTCTCATGGGAAGAAAGAGGCCAGCCAGTGGCTTCAGGTAGGAAAGCCCCAAAGCAGATGAAAAGTGGAACTTCCCGAAACGACCTCTCAGCCTCCAACTTCAGGCAAATCGATCATCAAACCTGGGATGGGGCCTCCAGTTGAACACGAAAGAGCTGTGAGGTAAGAAGATTCACCCTTACCTCAGTCACTACCTCAGTGGCTCTGTTAGGCTGGTCCTTGCCAAGCAGGGGAGGCACCAAGGTCATAACTCCTCACCTGTACAACTGACGTGGTGTTTGTGGGTGTTAGCTAGAGGTCCTATGGCACGTTAACTGAGAGAGAGACATTCCTGGTCCAATTAAGATTTAAATAAAAAACAATAAAAAGGAACTGTTTTTTCTTTCATCATTATCTAGGGGAAGGGAGGTTATAGGTGAAAAGTGCATGCTGCTCTAATTGTAATCTTTTAAAGTTGACTTCGTACATTTATTTCGTCTCACTATACATTGACATATGGGAATTGGCAGGATGTCCCTCAACTCCTCAACTACCAAGCCATGGGCACGGCGGGCAGCAGCCTAGCTGAAGTATTTGGGGCAGGGGCCCTCAATACTTTTAGACGAATACAAGTGCTTATAGATTTTGGTTTTTACTGGAGAAGTTCCTCCAAGTAGGGATAGTAGAGCTCCACGAGAATAAAGCAATATTTTCCATTAAAGGAGTGGGATTTCTGGTTCAAGCAAAGATGGAGCAGACCCGTTTCCCCTTAGTCTTCTCATTAATAGAAGTAAAAACCCTGGACGTTCTATATGACTCTGGAAGTGGAGAGACCAAGGTAGAAAGGACAGAGATCCCAGACTTACAGGCAACATGATGTCGAGTTGCCTGGTTTTCTGCCTGAGTCTCACATATCTGAGCTGGCAGCTGATGGAGCCTTCAGAAATGCCAGTGTATGTTAGACAAATATCTCAATAAAATCTGCTTTCTCCTGTCAAAAAATGAGGAAAGAAATAGGCTGGCCAGATAGAAATTGTTATGGTTTGGATCTAAAATGTCTCCGAAAAGCCTCCTGTCTTCAGAATTAAGGCTTTTGGAAGGCAATTGGATCATGGGACTGCTGTGCTCCTCTGTGGACTCATGCGGCAATGAGTTCATAGCTGAAGATGCTGTTAGACACAAAGCCTGGTTACAAGAAGGGATCGCCGAGGCCTGGCCCCAGAGGGAGTATTCTCTGGCTCTTTCCTCCTCCTCCTTTACTTCCTGGCTGCCTCAGGTTGAATCCTCCAACAGGTCCTCCTATGGCACTATTTATTCCTCAGAACAAACTGACCATGAACTGAACCTTTTAAAACTATAAGCAAAATGAACCTCCCCTCCATTAAGTTGTAGATAGCTGGTATTTTATCCCTGGGACAGGAAAGTGACTGATACAGAAATCTTTTGACAAAACCTGAACTAACCCAGCCAAGCTGCACGGAAAATGCCATACCCTGACTCCCACCCGCTAACCCCACCATCGGCATCTCCTGGGTGGAAAGGCTAGACTTTCTTCCTAGTTCCTCGTAAACTGCAGCCTCGTAGCAGACTAGGACAGACCAAGGTGATGTACAGTTCCCTGGGAGAAAGGTGGGACTGAGTCCGGGCAGTGGTTAGTGGTTTCTTCTGGGAGACTATAACTGTTGGAAGAGAAAAGCCCTCAGCCTAAGGCGGCACTTCAGAAAGGAATCTGCTCGAGGCCTTTCCTTGCAGTGGGAAATATCTTTAAGGCGCTTTTCTGCGTGGATCAGGTTTGTAGAAGAACATGTGGACAGTGATGACGCTGACAAGGTACGCTGATGCTAAGTCCAGTCCTCCGCGTTGCTTCAACCCAGGGCCTTCAGGTAACACCGAACGTTCCTTTTCCTTGCAATGCGTGAACAACCCCGACTTCTGAACGTGGTGGTGGGGCTTGGATTCACTCCTTTGCTCCTTTCCTCCGGGGCTCTGTTTGCGTCTGATTTGTTTCTAATTGTCCTATTCAGTCTCTCTATGCGTCCCAGAAAGCAGCGTGACTTTGGTCAAGAAGGCCAGGGACTCTTCCAGCCACTGGCCTTTGGTCCCAAAGATGGCAACATCTCCACTTGTGCAGGAAGAGGGCGGGGCCTTCCTGCCACGCAGGGCTGCTTTCGTTGTGCCATCGTTGTTCTGTTCGGTGTAAAGTGCCTTGTACGTCCCTGTTGGATGGATCCAAATGGCTCCAGAAGGGTGCAGACACCTCAAAGGCTGCTACCGTCTACTCCTGGGAGGCTTCACCTAAACACCACGGTGACTCCTCTTTCAGGAGCAATTCCAGGTAAGTTCACGAAATAAATGTGAAGGGCCACGATTTACAAGGACTGTAGAAGACCTTGAGGAGGTGCTTGTTCTTCCTGGGTCACAAACTGGTTTTGTTTATTTTAATCCGTGGCACGACTGAGGTTTGGTGGGGAAAATACAGAAACCCAAGAACTCCAAAAGGCAAGAAACTTCTGTTCATCACTGCGAAGGGAAAAATCGACAAGGAAGTTTGGATGAACTTTCAATCGCTAGAGGGATTAACTAAGAAACAAGTTAAAATTACTATTACTTCAGTGAGAGGATACTGATAATGTCCCGGCTGTGTAAAACTTCCAAAAACATTCGATTTTTTTTTTAGAATTTGACTCCCAGGTAATAAATAGCAAAAGTATAACAGAAGGTGGGACTTGGAGTGGTCAGTGCTGGTTCTGGTCCAGATTTTCACTGACGTGTAAACCTCTCTTCCTCTAAGTTGTGGGTGCGCAGTTTCGTGTCCCTGAGACAGGAAAGCTGAGTGATACATCCCTTATATTTTCAAGGGTTTCATAGACCGTGGACTTAATTTAGATCTTCAAGGCCTGGAGAGGTAGCTTGGTGGTAAAGCCCCCACATCCCCTCTACGGTAGATTTTTCATTTATTTCCAGCTGATCTTCTCCAAATCCAACCATAACACCTAAAACTACATTTCTACTAACTTCCTCCCCTTTCTGTGTAAGAGTTGGCCAGAATGGAATACCTTATGGTTTGGTTTGGTTTGGTTTGGTTTGCAGTACTGGGATGGGCCCCGGGCCTCACAACTACTAGGCAAGCAGTCTGACACACCCACCTAAGTAAAATTTTTAAAACAGATTTTTGTATATAGTTTTGTTCAATGTTTTAAATAAGCTTTAAGTAGTACTCCTACCAAAGTCTCCTTTTTAGTGTTCGTTAATGCCATGTATGCTTCTCTTTCCTGCAGGCATTTTTATTTTGGAATAATCCCTGGCTTGTGCAATTTCACACGCATCAAGGGACCTGGCACTGTCTGGCTGGCCTTCCATTCATGGGGTATCTTCCGTAAGAATGTGACATTTCTGTACGATGGGAAAGCCCTCACCATGTGCTGACTCTTCTTCTGGTGGCTACACAACGCTTTGCTTTAAATCATAAGGTTCAGTACCTGAGCCGGGTCAGGCTTCCTCTCTGTGCTTAAGGAGAGAGGCTACGATTCCCACACAAAGCTGTGAGCTTCCTTCCGCTTTCACTCTCCGACCCTCAGTCTGTCTCGAGCCTTAGGGTGAATAAAGCAGGCAGGCCCTCCATGCCAAACCACATCGTAGAATGTTCCCCTCCACGGCCCAGGCTCCCCGTCCCTTTCCTTTGCTTGCCATCTGCTAGCCTGGCTCTTAAGAACAATACCGAGTTCCCAGTCCCTTAGTTCTTCGCCATGACCACCACGGGAAGTTGGGTAACCCTGAACTTTCCCTTCTCCCGCCACTGGGGAAATCATTCACTTGCTCCACAGACTTCAGAATGGACATCGTAGGAGCAAGATGACCGTGTACTGTAGTTTCTTGATCCAACTCTGTAAGATTCATAGCTGAACAATTCAAATCTTATTCTGATATTAGATCAAAGACATGGACCAATGTCTCTATTTCAAAAGATAATCAGGCTCTAAAGCAACAGAATAATATGTATTAGCAAGTATAATTTTTTGCTCCAAATAATTTCTTTCTGGGAATTAAATTGGTTTCCTCACCTAGTCACATATATTGGATTAGCTTATCAATATTCATGAGGATACATTCTTTTCCTATAGTAAATGAGTATCTTGCAGGCAGGAATAGAACTTCAACAAGACTAATTTAAAACAGAGGAGTCATATCCCACATTTGAGACATGTGAGTATTAACATTTTTATTTGAATACTCTTTCCTATAATTAAATTGGTTTCCTCACCTAGTCACATATATTGGATTAGCTTATCAATATTCATGAGGATACATTCTTTTCCTATAGTAAATGAGTATCTTGCAGGCAGGAATAGAACTTCAACAAGACTAATTTAAAACAGAGGAGTCATATCCCACATTTGAGACATGTGAGTATTAACATTTTTATTTGAATACTCTTTCCTATTTGTAGATCTATTTGTGTGAGTGTATGAGCACTGTGTGCGTGTGTGTGTGTGTGTGTGTGTGTGTTTCTACTGTCCCTGTGGACATCTGTCCTACATATCTACCTGTGCTTTATTAATTATGAGCACTGTGTGCGTGTGTGTGTGTGTGTGTGTGTGTGTTTCTACTGTCCCTGTGGACATCTGTCCTACATATCTACCTGTAAGCTTTATTAAATTCTTATTTTTTCCATCTCAGCTCACACTTTCCTGTTAGTGTGCATTTTCATGCTTTTCGTCCCTCATTGCAAAATCTCTACCTACAGAATAGACATTTTTGTTTTTATCCTAAAGGCATTTCTATAATTTGTCTAAGAGAAGCATTTTCCATATACCTTTTAACACGGGTCTGCTTTTTCTCAGATAAAATCTTACGATGAGCTGTTTTATAGTGTGGATTTAATTTATAGCATCAAATACCAGCATGGATTGTTACCAAATGAATCAGCAAGAATAAGAAGGCTGTTTTAACCAGAGCAAATAGGAAATCAGGGGTGGTAAATGGCCTTGGCATGTAATTTATGCACGGATTTGCTCTGTTAAGCTTGGGAACTTGGATTCATCCACACTCGTAAGGGTCATTTACAGCTGCTTCAGCTGAAAAGTGCAGAAGCATGCCAACTTCAAATCAGTCGTCAGTGGTCACCTATGTGCCAACCTCCTGTCCACAAAAAGGACGTCCAGCACCCAGTACCTAGTTTGAGTAGCAGGTTGTCTGAGTTTCTAAACCGTACTTCCTATGTAAGAATGAAGTGAACATTCAAGCCTCCCTGCTGCTGCTGTGTCACGAGAACTGGAGAGAGGGGATTTCCTCGGTCTACCACTTACACAGCCTCAAAGGAAAAGCTATGACTGGATTTTAAATAGAAAGGTCTCCTACTTCTAAGACAAGTAACTCAGAGAGCAATC